AAGTTATAGTTGGTTTTGTATAAGATTCCATTTTTTCATTCAAGCTTCCTTTATAGTAGACACTGAGGCCTGGTATTGTGTCACGAATGGCAATATTTCTTTTTCCTCCTTGTTTTTTTGTTTTAGGAGTTTAGACTCCCTTTTGTGAATTTTATTTGTGATAGTAGGTTTTCTGTCAAAGATAGGGGGCACCCAACGAGAATATAGTTCAAAACCACTTAAACATAGCATTGTTAAACGTATTTTAGTATTTAAACAGTAGATATAGGCATATTTTTATCCCCTAAAAAATTTTCATCTGTTCGGATCTCCTAGCTGAAAGTCTAGTGATACGAAAATTATAGGGATCAAAACTTACCTTTTCGAAAATTTCAGCCAGAAAAAAGGCTACCGAAAATTCTAGGTGACCTTAGGGTAAAAATCCATTAAAAATGGGCAATTTTACCATTTTTTTACATGTTCCAAAATCCTAGGAGGGGCAGACAAGCAAGAAATTTTACAACAAATGTTCCGAAAATTCTAGATCTCAAATCGTCTTTCGAACAGATATTTTCCGAAAATTGAAGTTGGGTGCCCCTGAAAGATTGTGGGTAGCCTCCGTCCGTCAAGCGTTTTTTTTTTAAATTTGAATTATTTTCCTCAAAGGTTGTTTCTGAGGAGTTTTTTCGTAGGATTCTTAAGGCTTCTCCTTTGACAAATTCTTTTTTAACATTTGGAGGGTGACACGAGGTCAAATGTGTCTGCAAGAAGCTTTCCGTTTGTTTAAAATGTGTCTTTGCATCAAGGATAGATTTGCCTTGAATCTTGTGCCTTTGTATACAACCGTGTCTAAAAACGCAGTCTCAGTGTCAAATTTTTCGGCCGTGAATTCAATAGTTAGGTGATGTTAGGTTGCTTNCCCCCCCCCCCCCCCCCCCCCATACTTTTTTACCAGTACCTTAGCTTGTTAGTAAAATAAAAAATTTCAGTTGCCCAATTTAGCGATTTTTCTTTTTTTATTAATATACACAAAGATGGTAAATATTTTTTTAGTTACAAAACCGCGATCCAAGAGGGTTCTGACTATTTTTAAAGTTCTACTAGGAAATTGTATTCGAATGAACTCGTATGACAGTCTTTACATAAACAACAACAAATTCTGCTTCATTGCGGTATAAATGTAAAGGTTGTATTGCACAGAAACAGAATAAAGCCTATGGAGATATTTGCTTTCAAATTCCCACAAAGATTCCACTGTAAAATTAAATCATAGAATGTGTTTATTTGTTATTATAATGATGTTTTGCAGGACAACAGTGAGTGCCCGGCCTATAAAGACTACTGGAACACACACTTAAAGATAAACGAGTTCGTAATACAATGAAGAGGTCTTAGTTTGATTGCAAGTAGAATAAATTAAGACTGCTGTGTAACATTGTATTTTTGTCGTCAGGGGCTTAAGTGTGGTGTTGCGCAAACTTTAGTCAGCTCTCAGATGGAAACTATTGGGACTGGCACAAAATCTCTGTATTTATAGACAGGTGTAACTCTTATAGAGAGTAAAAGAAAATGACTGAAGAATAGTAGGGACCAACTCGATTTCCTGGAGGTGCCTTATCTTTTGATTGTACTACTGTATAATATTTCTAGCATTACATCCTCCTTCTTAATATTATATATTGTAGACAAAGAAACAGGAAAGTATTTTTTGAAGCAAGTTTGATTAAGCCTGGCTGCAGTTAATAAATTTCAACCAAGAATGAAATTTAATCATACTAGACATGAAGTATACAAGTGTGCTAGGGTTGCTGCTGGTCACACTAAAAAGTTTGTTTTTCAATGGTTTAATAGCTGTAGGCCATTTGTATTTCATTTGTGCATAATTCTGTATAATTTTCTTGTTTGCAATATACTTTTGAATTTGTATATTATATAAATCTTTTATGTTGTATCTCTAATATATTTAACAACTATTCTTTGAAATCGAGGTGAATAGTGGCAAAATATTTACCGAGCCACGGAGTGGGGAGGTAAATATTCCTAAAGCCACTATTCACCGAGATTGAAAAGAATAATTGTTTTAGTATATACACACGAAGTGATCTCAACAAAATCAGAGAGGAAACTATTAAAAAGTACAATTCGATTGACAGATCAAATCACGCGTAAGTTTAAAAATAGATCTTTGCAGAATTTTCAAACATAGCAATTCACAAGTTTATCATTTCGCAAACAACAGCGTAATGGCTTAAATGGAACCGCTAAAAGTTTGAACTGTTTCCTTACCTGAGAAGAAAAGTGGAGCTTTGTGGTTTTCTGTTGACTCGCCAAGCTAATAGCCAAAAGGGCTTGTTGTGTCGTTCTCCGCATGAAGTGCTGACAACGGCCGGCTCGGTTACTCGAGGTAAGAAGTCGTCTTGCTGTATCATTCTTTTTCCTGTTTACTTGAAACGTAGAATTTCTGCAAACATTTCCTTTTAAATTTGTTTGTCATAAATAAACTTCGATTTTTGAGCCAAAATTTTCTTGTTGGAAAACGCTGAGTTCACGAAACGGCTTCTTCTACGCGAATACACGGGAGTTGTAAACAATCCATCGAGCACAAAACTTAGCTACAGTAAATTGAAAAACGCCGTATTGAATCCTTCCAAGTCTTTTCTTGCCTTATTCTTCATTGCAAAGTAGTATTAGTGTACAAGATAAAAACTGATAAAAAATGATTGTATTATATTTTAAATTTACCCGGACTTTAGTTTTCACAATCTGTCCAACTGTAATGCTCAATATAGGAGATAGCTCAATAAGGTTTTTAGAGAAGAATACTGATGTACACCAACAAATCCAAACTTTAATAGTGAAAACAGATCATCTGGCCTTGAAACTGGGCAGCAAAAAGTAAATGCCATAGTAGATGACGAATTACACAACTTGATATTAAACTGAAGTAGAGAACCGATAATATTAGTCTAAAAATGATGTCAGTGCTATCATCTGAGTTGTGATGCCATTTTCTTACCAAGTCACGAAATATTAATACAGGTCACGGAGGTGGAACTATATTCAATACAGATATTTGTTTGCGGGTCGGTAAAATTGAACAAAACAGAAAACAAACGTGAGAAAAAATAGTAATTTGTTCCTTCGCCATTGCCCGCAGTAGATGAATGCCACGGGCTAATAGCTAACGTTCGCTAGATAATCTCTCTGACGGTCCAGTATAATGTCCCCCATCTTGTTTTGTCTCTTTGGTAGTACCCAGACCATTGCAACACAGCTAAATCGCTCGACCCCGCTCGTTTCAACGCCCTAGCTTCTTACGCCGTGCTCGAGATGGTGCTCAGCACGCAAGCTCTATATACCATGACCTTGGTGTGTTCGGTCAGTTTGTTGCTCTCTTTGAATGACTAAACACCGTGCTTGCTACTTTTTCTATGCTCTTGTTCAACTCAATATCGCGGAGTCAGAGGCTTTCTCTTCAAGTAGAGCAAATGGATGTAGAATCATGAACAATTTCAAGCTGCTGGTCAAATATTTTGATGCTAGGTGGACCGGTGACATCTTTTCCAGTTACTTGTGCACGTTTTCTTGAGGTTGATAGTAAGTTTGAAGTACTTGCAGGTAAACTCCCTCTGCAAGCGCTTGGAGACGCTTTAGAACAACTTGAACAAACAGTTTTTCAGCGATGGTAAGGAGTGTGATGCCTTGGTAGTTGAAGCAGTCTCTCCAGTCCCTATGTTTGCCGCTCTCATGTCTTATGGTACCTCGACCTCTTGCCAGCACAGAGGGGAGAGATTGCTAAAGGCATCGTCTTTGCTGCATGCACTTCAGGATTTCAGCTGGAAAATCATCCTAACAGTGTGCTTTTCGAGAGGAAGGCGAACCCAGGGCCTCCCTCACCTCCTCTTCTGCAGGTTCAATATCTAGCTCCTCCAGAACAGGTAAGTACTTTATGACGTTCATGGCATACAGCTCAAAATAATAGTCTACAAAGCGCTCCTTCTATTGCGCTCCGTCCTGGATAATTATCTCGCCTGTAGCAGATTTAAAGGGGGCTGTTTCCTTCTAAGAAGGACCAAGTACCTGCTTGATTTCCTCTACATAGCCTTGGTATTACCTGTCTCAACAGCAGACTGGATGCTAGCACGGAGCTAAGGTCAAGCCAGTAATTATTTGCACAAAGTCTGGTGCATTGTTTGCAAATTACTACGTGCAGCCTGTAGAGCCTCTTGGTTGTGTTCATTTGCGCAGGCCTTTTATGCAGCCAACGAAGTAAGCTATGCCTTTCCCGCCCCAGATTTCCTGTCTTTTTTCCTTACGAGGTTGCCTCGGACAGGTTTTTTCTGGCCATTTATTTGGTTGGTATAAAGCAAAAATTCAGACTTTTTATCCCCGCTCGTGTAACTTTAGTCCTTGCTTTATACAAAAGTTCCAGCTATGAGTCACTAATATTAAACTGTGGTATTACTGTTATAAAATAAACCTGTGGAATACTACGCGCAGCCTGTACAGCCTCTAGGTTTTGTTCACTTGTGCAGGCCTTTTATGCAGCCAGCGAAGTAAGGTGTGCCTTGCCCGCACCAAATGTCTTGTCTTTTCCCCTACGAGGTTGTTTGGGACAGGTTTTTTCTGGCCACCCCGGTAGGCTTACATGTAGCTTTAGTTTACCGCATTTGCTGTAGCTGTTTTCACCTTTTGGGTATAATTAAAGTGGGTCATGGCGTTCTACACAGGCCATATCAACTATTCTCCATCATTTGCTGATTTTTGGCCTATTTTGTTTCATGATTCTCTATTAACGAGTCTAGTAAGTACAGAAGGTACGAAACACAGCCCAAGGCAGAATCTCACTTGGCTGCGAAAACAAAAATTCGACGGCTGTTGTTAATAGCCGTTCTTAAAAGCCGCCATGTCGGATAAAATTAAAGGTTGCTACGAAAGTTTCTTCATTGTTGCCACAAGAAGTAAAATTAAAAGACTTCCCTAACCCTCTGTGTTAACCTGACATTTTCAAAGCTACCTTGGCATGTTTTGCCATCGCCTGTATATCCTGCCCTGCAGGTACAGATATACGATCCACGAGTATTGGAGCAGTTGGCATTGCTGTCACATACAGGAGAAGAAGCACTGCATTCGTCAACATCTGAAAAGGGAACACATATCCCTTAACTGCTATGGGAAGAACAAAGGGTGTTCTAAAAGGACCATTGGTGAAATTTTTATTTGGTTGGTATAAGAAAAAAATTCAGACTTTCTATCTTCGCGCGTGTAACTTAAGCCCATGCTTTAACAAAACTTAGGTTATGAGGCTTTATACAAAAGTTCCAGCTATGAGTCAGTAATATTAAACTGTGGTATTACTATTATAAAATAAACCTGTGGAATACTACGCGCAGCCTGTACAGCCTCTAAGTTTTGTTCACTTGTGCAGGCCTTTTATGCAGCCAGCGAAGTAAGGTGTGCCTTGCCCGCACCAAATGTCTTGTCTTTTCCCCTACGAGGTTGTTTGGGACAGCTTTTTTTCTGGCCACCCCGGTAGGCTTACATGTAGCTTTAATTTACTGCATTTGCTGTAGCTGTTTTCACCTTTTGGGTATAATTAAAGTGGGTCATGGCGTTCTACACAGGCCATATCAACTATTCTCCATCATTTGTTGACATTTGGCCTATTTTGTTTCATGATTTTCTATTAACGAGTCTAGTAAGTACAGAAGGTACGAAACACAGCCCAAGGCAGAATCTCACTTGGCTGCGAAAACAAAAATTCGACGGCTGTTGTTAATAGCCGTTCTTAACGGCCGCCATGTCGGATAAAATTAAAGGTTGCTACGAAAGTTTCTTCATTGTTGCCACAAGAGGTAAAATTAAAAGACTTCCCTAACCCTCTTTGTTAACCTGACATTTTCAAAGCTACCTTGGCATGTTTTGCCATCGCCTGTATATCCTGCCCTGCAGGTACAGATATACGATCCACGAGTATTGGAGCAGTTGGCATTGCTGTCACATACAGGAGAAGAAGCACTGCATTCGTCAACATCTGAAAAGGGAACACATATCCCTTAACTGCTATGGGAAGAACAAAGGGTGTTCTAAAAGGACCATTGGTGAAATTTTTATTTGGTTGGTATAAGAAAAAAATTCAGACTTTCTATCTTCGCGCGTGTAACTTAAGCCCATGCTTTAACAAAACTTAGGTTATGAGGCTTTATACAAAAGTTCCAGCTATGAGTCAGTAACACTAATCAGTGGTATTATCTTAGAACGGATACAGTTGTGCATGCCCGAAGTCGGAAAAGTAACCTCAAATTAAGTTCTGATACTGACTTTTCGTTTGTCTCAGACCAGTCTTCGCAGGGGAGGAAAAAGGTTGGAAAAAAAACAGAAAATAGAAAATAAAAATAATGATAATAATAATAAAAATCGGGGTGCGAACGGAGACGAGCCTAGTTCAGGCTTACTTTTCATCGGTCGAAGGCTTAACGTACCGTTGGCATCCATATTGCAATAAGCCAGAACGGATGTACCAGATTTTATTGTGGAAAACCAGTATTTCCCGCTGACAGCGTGTCCTTCACTCCTCTTTATTTCGTCGCAAGACTCAGCTGGTAGTTCTTGAATCGAGCCCAGTGGAACTGAAAGGTTAAAAGCGGTGTTTATTTTATCAGTTTACTTTTAATCCTGCATAGTTTTTACTTCATGCAGGCTCACCTCGTTCTAAATCACGTCGATAGTAAGATCTGTCTGGGTTCGGAATGAAGTCCTCAGGCCTGGCTTCCTTTGTCCTGTTGTTTAACTCGCACGTTAGAAGAGAGATAACCCAGTTCAAACTTTGGCATCGATTATCTTCTCGACACTTCAATACGCAGGTAAACGGACGTTCAGCGAGAAGAGTGTCGTACACGTGTCCCTGTAACATCCAGCCCAAGATGGATCTCTCCGATGGACCACCTCCAGGACATTTCTGAGTTACTGCGCTGCAAAGCAGGAGAACCAGGACGGAGATACGGAAAACTATTCTTGCAGTCATGGCTGAAAAATTATATATACATATAAAGTGTTTTGCTAATTGCTGAAGAACACTTTATTAAAGACAAATTATGTTCCTTTATAATATTGGAACATCCGAAGAAGTTCGATCTGTCTCCAGCTAATTTTTCTTATCATTTATTTCCTCTCTTATTCATTGCAAAAGTAAAAATACACAAGGGCGAACATTTGCATAAGTACTCAGGAAGAAACCGCCAAGAAATAAGCCTGTTTGAATGACATAAACTAAATATGCTAGAAACTTATTTTGTACAACAGGGACAGGTTTTTGAAAGCTTCGGCAGCCCTACTTCGTCTTTAGTGCCTGCCTCAGTGATGAAAGAAAAATAAAGTGTTACTCAATCATTTTCCCACCATGAATTCATGAAGTTCTCCCTTAATTGTCCATTCGCCCAACTCATCCCTCATTGATATTAATTTCGATAAAATGATAGCACAAAAAAAAAGACCACTAGGTGAGCTGGAGTGAATTTAGTTAGCCTGTGAAATAGTATCAAGTAACAATTATAAGCTCAAAGGAGCCGACTTTTAATCAAATCACTCAAGCTTCTCTCTACTTCCCAAGACCATACTGTGACAAACAAAACCCTGAAACCGCTGGCATGCATCCTAGTCTATTAAGAGGTTGAAGCCGGTAAATTTTCGTGGAGACGGAATTTAAAAAATTCAGGTAGAGAAAGTAAAAAGACACCAGTTGTTACGTGTTTTAGCACTATTAAGCGTTGCATTAAGAAATTTCATGCCTTGACCGGTTCAGTGACTATACCGAACAGTGTACACACAAAAAAAGACTTTTGTACGTTCAGCGTTGTTGTTTTGCTCTTAAACCGTTGAAGAATTCTTATCTTCAGGGCTGTTTTAACTTCTTATTGTCGACTATTATTAAAACTCAAGAGAAGACATTATCGTTCAACAAACACCAAATTGGAATAAGAAACAATAAAACTCAAGCTTAACAAATTTTTAAAAGACGGCTCAACGGGAAGTAAAAACTCCATTGGACGCCACTTACCAGTTTTAAGAGGTTATTTTTACGAGTTTCCACGAAGTTTACCAGTTTCTACTATTAGTCTCGATTAAATTAGTTTTTCGAGTTTCCTGCGACAGCTTGCAGAGTGATGTGTTGTCAGTATCTCTCGATGTCCATCTCTAGGCAACAATCTCAACAAATTTAGCTGCTGCTAATTAGTGTCCCCTTTTAATTTTAGACGCCCTTCAGTGACGCATATCAAATTTTAATTGAAAATATCAAATGGGAAGCAACCCACGGTCGTCTAATGGAAGCTAGAATGTAAATTAATTTAACGCCTACGACCAGTAAATGGAAGCTAAGTAGTTTGACTATGATTTACATGCATGATACTTAATATATTGTGTTATCTTTTTATAGGGCTCGTCCAAGTATCCGCATTTATTTGAAGAAAGGCTTTTCTTTTGGTTGCAAACAAATTGCCCTTTTGTTTGAATCGTTGCCCCCGTCGAAACATATCCCATTTTGTTTGAAATGAAACATATGTTGATGTTGAAATGTCTTTAATAAATCAGTCTAAACTTCTCTCTCTTTTTTTTCAAAAAAATGTTTGCTGGAGAAAGATGTCTCGCTAAGCACCTAAACATATTTCTTGAAAGAAAAAAAATAATAACTTCAGATATCTTATAAATCTTTAAAAAAAGCCGAGACATTTCAATGGCGTTCTTTCTCCTTTGCGAGATCACGGATCCTGTTACTCCGTGGTCTTCGAAAATGCTCATTCTCAGCCGTCCACTCATATTAAGTACGGGAAAGCGGAGTTTTCAAAATTTTGACCGCCGGGTTACGTGTTGAAGGAAGCCCAACTCGCAAAACAAACAAACAAACAAATACTCAGTACATTAAAAAAATAGCTAAGGATACGTACACTTGTGAACAAGAACTTACTCAAATAAATGCAAGTGAAAAAGAAAACAAATATACAGGCAACAAGGAAAAATACTCATCTTCAGAAACATTCAAAGTACTAATTAATTATTTGAGGAGGAAGATATGACTAATTATTTATAGAAGAAGACAATGTTAGGAGCTCAGAGTACAGACAATATAAATTCTCCTGAGATAACCCCATGCAGTAAGCAATTATTGCACCATTAAAAAATAACCTCTACGCGTAGTGCCGGCGACTCTTTTAAAGAAACGGTCGTGCGACATTTACCTTTGTAAATAAAGTTTGCTTTGGCAATTGGTCATTGGCAATTGTGCATTGGGCATTGGGCATTTGTGCATAAGAAACTCACTGCAATGATATGCTTGAGTGACCACCAAACAATAGCTTCGTAGTGCGCAATTCCCAATGCCCAAACTAACCATGATTCAGTGAATCAGCGATATACTTCTCGCATGGATGCCTTTGAAGTGTTTGACAAGTACTTGTGCGCGGCATCGCACGAATTTCAAAGAGAGTAGCATTGAAAGGTTCGTCATGCAAAATGTTTTTCACGAGTAACAGAGTCTTGACTACAATGTACAGGTTCTACTCGGTGCATCGTTGCCGAAAATCATATCGGAGAAGGCTTCTGTTGACACTTGGGCACGATTTCTGTAACGGAGAAACTTTGTTTGACAGGCTACAGAAGCTTCAGAACCGATTTAGATATGATGCTGATGCCAACCCCTTATTTAGACAACTTAATGAAAAGACTTGAGCACTCAGTCTCAAATACAAACAGCCCTAATGGTTTAATAGTCTTCAAATGATCTTGTCCCAGGATATTTATCCTCTAAATTTGTTTAACGATATGAAACGCGCTACTCCTTAAGGAACTCTGTTAACAAACTAATTGTCTTCATGAAGAACACCTTTAGTTATAGCGGAGCAGTTCTCTGGAACAGCCTGCCTTGTGCTATGGGAGCGGCTAAATCTTTAAGTGAATTTAAACGATTAGCTCATCTGAATTTGTGATTCTTTAAGTACTTTAATTGTATACAGCTTTCATGAAAAACAGGCCATAGTTGTAGTTAGTTTTGCACATTGTTTAGGGTATAGTTAGGTTTATTTAAAATTTGTTATACTCCTCATGAATTTTACCGTGTTTAAATAAAGACTTATTCTGTTGATTCTATTCTATTCTATTCTATTCCAACACAATTTTTAATTTGCATGTCCTATTTTTAATTTGCAGCAACACTTTTAATTTGCACAACATTTTTAATTTGCAGGTAAAATTTTTAGTTTGCAGCAGCATTTTTAATTTGCATGTGTGACACTTCTGGGCCACCGTACTACCCTCCATTAAGCGGCCAGTTTTCAAGGTCCTAAAATAATCGTAAAAGACAACGGTAATTTTAACTTTGGCCACCACGAGTGCAGATAAGTCGATAAGTCGATAACACTAAATAACTATCTATAAAATCGATTGATTACATTGAAATCCAATAAAACCGATATGGAGGAAAAATATGTGACCAATCGATAATTATCAATATATTCCCCGATTTTTATGGGACTGAAATTTCGATTTGTTTCAGCAGCTTTCAGCTGTCAATATTGACAAGGGAGACAGCTTGACGTTTGTGAAACATTAGTAAAGTGATTAGGTAATGGCGAAGGGCAGGCAGGCAATCACATCCATGACGTTAAAAAAAAAAACACACACACACTAAGAACGTTTAACCATACACGAGGCGTCCCTCAATGACTCACAAGTATCGTACAAAATAGCCATCACATGTCTCCACAGGAATTGCGGCGAAAGAAATCGATTAACGCGAGAAAACCCTTAACAAACGGGTATGAAAACACTTGAGAAACTTGAGGTCATTTCACGGTGGCCTCGTGTAGGCCAATGAGGAGGCCCCCGTGCGCATGCTCCTAATAAACAAAGGAGAAACCCGTTCACCGTGAAAAATGTCTGCGCATGCTCTATTAAAAAAGGTTCTATTCGAGGTTGTTTACCGTAATAGGTTTAAAAAGCAATCAGCTACAATTCTGAACGTGTATTGCACTTTATTTTAGCTTATCATGGTATATTTCCAATGGTAGAGGAACCCTCTAAAAAGTCCGAAAAATTATCACAGAACTCTACCAAAAGAAACACATTGATGAAATGACATTTAAATGGTTATCTCAAACACCAAACCCTCCACGCATTCCAGTTTTTTTACACTCTTAAAAAATACACAAGGTCAACTTGTCAAGTCGACCAGTAATCTCTGGATGCGACTCCCCTACTGAGAGAATTTCAGCTTTTGTTGATAGTCTTCTTCAACCAATAATGAAAGAACAGTAGTCATACATTAAAGATACAACACAGTTTATTAACTTCATTGAAGGAACGAGAGTTCCACAAAATGCAATCCATGTCTCAATGGATGTTACAAGCTTATATACAAATATACCGCAAGAAGAAGGTATCACGACCATATGCCATGCATATGACACATTCTACACGGCAACACACCCTATACCAACACATTATCTTAGAGAAATGCTAAGACTAATATTACTAGAAAATTCCTTCCAATTTAATGGAAAAGACTTTCTCCAGACCCATGGTACGGCTATGGGGACTAAAACAGCAGTCTCCTTTGTTTATCGATCAGCACAGTACAAGGCCGTTGTTATGGAAGAGATATATCGATGACGTGTTTTCCCTATGGGACACTAATAGAGAGGAAATTAACAACTTCATTGAACATGCAAATAACTATCACCCTACAATACAATACAATTGATATTTCTGATAAAGAAATCATCTTTCTTAATACATGCATCTACAAAAGAGCAAGATTTGAAAAGCAATCTATTCTTGACACGCGTACTTATTTCAAGCCTACCTACTAAGACATTCCAGTACACGCACTTTAAATCCTGTCACCCACCCGGAGTCAAAAAAAGGCTTCGTAAAAGGTGAAGGCCTGAGACTACTAAGAACTAACTCTTCAGAGGAGACTTTCGTAGAAGAGATAAGAATATTCAAACTACGCCTTCGAGCGAGAGGCTACCCGAACATCCTTATAGACAAAACACTCTCGGAAGTAAAATTATCTGACAGAAAAAAAGCTCTCAAGGATAATACAAGAGTGCAAAAAGAAATATTGCCCTTTTTAACGCAATACAACCCATCTGTGCCTAACCTTAAACACATTTTAATGGAGAAATGGCATCTTATAGAATCACAACCTAAACTTAAAGAAATGTTTAAACATCCTCCAATTATTTCTTATAAGAGAGCCATTTCATTAAGAGATATACTGCATGGTTAGAGCCAAACTGTAGTTAATTTCTTTAACACTACATGTAGATAAGTAATTACATTCATGCGACACGCTTGCGGGATCTGTGAATGGCCTGTCACCATTTATTTACCATGCCGACTATGACGTGAAATCACCTAACTTCAGGTTTTACTGAGGTCGTAAATAAAAGACGACGATTTTCTTGTACTCTTTTATACTGGGATGCTGCCTATAAGAATTTCTCTGCAGAAAAATTCACCTACTTTTGACAAATTGAATAAGATGGATTAAAATCGATGTAGTTTGAAACTTCGCAAACTCTCTTCTTAAGTGACGTTTTCGCGCCGCCATCATCTTTTTGACTTGGTAATGACACGAGTATTTTTAACTTACGGAATGATCTGACTTACAACATTATTCAGATCATTTCTTAAATAAAACTCGAAAAATTCAGACATTCTCTTATCTAACAATGGATATTTCATCAGAATGCTGGCCACTGGCGTTGCTATGCATCCCAAGTTAACATGAGGTAAATAATTAGCCTCTTATAGAAAGCAACTTATACGATCTTAATGAGCACTAGTGGCTGACCGAATACTTTTAACAACTTTCAAACTAAAAGAAATTATTTGAAGGTAGACACTAACACGTACCAGCATACACCAGAGCACACAGTCCATAAGAAATCCAGGCAAGAAAAACGAGCAACTTAATGGAAGCCATGAAAGCTGTTGCTATACGACTCCAACTCTTCTGCTGGTTCCCTGACGACAGACTAAAATTCAGTTTACCATAAAATGTTCCTGTTCTCTTAATTACACGCTGAGATGAATAATTAAAAAGCCGCATTTTAAAATCAGATTAGGAATCAAATTCGTGGGGTGCACCTTAACATCATATATCACTATCACTAACATAACATAACTTAACGCTTTTTTAATAACGTTCTTTACACCAATTTCTGTTTTACCATTTCTCCCTGCTATTATTAATTAAGGAATCAGTTCGGTTCGTTTCCAGTTTAAGCTCTTAATGCGAAATTTGATCTATCCGCTTATTTCCATCCACCCGCATTCATATTGGTTAGCCGTTTGGGCTCCAACAGGTATTTCTATTTTATATACAGAAGAGTCCTATATCTATTTTGCAGTGTCAGATCCATGGACATTTGTTCTCTTTTTCTGCTCATCTGTGACGATCAGTAAAAATCTACCTGTTTAACATTATCACCCGACTTTTAAAATAACTTCCTCTGACAAAAATGCAAACAAGGTTATTACTAGTCAAACTACCATAACATCCTTCACTAAAAAAGTTCTCTCCAGAGAGTTTTTCAGGAGGTTCTTAATCCACTAGGTTCTATTCGAGGTTGTTTACCGTAAGAGGTTTAAAAAGCAAACAGCTACAATTCTGAACGTGTATTGCACTTTATTTTAGCTTATTATGGTATATTTCCAATGGTAGAGGAAACCTCTAAGAAAGTCCGAAAACTTTTGACAGAACTCTACCAAAAGAAACACATTGATGAAATGACATTTAAATGGTTATCTCAAACACCAAACCCTCCACGCATTCCAGTTTTTAACACTCTTACAAAAACACACAAGGTCAACTTGTCAAGTCGACCAGTAATCTCTAGATGCGATTCCCCGACTGAGAGAATTTCAGCTTTTGTTGATAGTCTTCTTCAACCAATAATGAAAGAACAGCAGTCATACATTAAAGATACAACACAGTTTATTAACTTCATTGAAGGAACGAGAGTTCCACAAAATGCAATCCTGGTCTCAATGGATGTTACAAGCTTATATACAAATATACCGCAAGAAGAAGGTATCACGACCATATGCCATGCATATGACACATTCTACACGGCAACACACCCTATACCAACACATTATCTTAGAGAAAAGCTGACACTTATATTACAAGAAAACTCCTTCCAATTTAATGGAAAAGACTTTCTCCAGACCCATGGTACGGCTATGGGGACTAAAACAGCAGTATCCTTTGCTAATATTTTCATGGCAAAGATTGAGGCAGCAATTATCGATCAGCACAGTACAAGGCCGTTGTTATGGAAGAGACATGTCGATGACTTGTTTTCCCTATGGGACACTAATAGAGTGGAAATTAACAACCTCATTGTACATGCAAATAACTATCACCCTACAATACAATTCACTGCTGATATTTCTGATAAAGAAATCATCTTTCTTGATACATGCATCTACAAAGGAGCAAGATTTGAAAAGCAATCTATTCTTGACACGCGTACTTATTTCAAGTCTACTGAGACATTCCAGTACACGCACTTTAAATCTTGTCACCCACCAGGAGTCAAAAAAGGCTTCGTAAAAGGTGAAGGCCTGAGACTACTAAGAACTAACTCTTTAGAGGAAACTTTCGTAGAAGAGATAAGAGTATTCAAACTACGCCTTCGAGCGAGAGGCTACCCGAACATCCTTAAAGACAAAACACTCTCGGAAGTAAAATTATCTGACAGAAAGAAAGCTCTCAAGGATAATACAAGAGTGCAAAAAGAAATATTGCCCTTTGTAACGCAATTCAACCCATCTGTGCCTAACCTTAAACACATTTTAATGGAGAAATGGCATCTTATAGAATCACAACCTAAACTTAAAGAAATGTTTAAACAACCTCCAGTTATTTCTTATAAGAGAGCCATTTCATTAAGAGATATACTGCATGGTTAGAGCCAAACTGTAGTTAATCTCTTTAACACTACGTGTAGATAAGTAATTACATTCATGCGACACCCTTGCGGGATCTGTGAATGGCCTGTCACTATTTATTTACCTTGCCGACTATGACGTGAAATCACCTAACTTCAGGTTTTATTGAGATCGTAAAGAGAAGATGACGATTTTCTTGTACTCTCTCATACTTGGATGCTGCCTATAAGAATTTCTCTGCAGAAAAATGCACCTACTTTTGACGAATTGGATAAGATGGATTAAAATCGATCAAGTTTGAAACCGCGCAAGCTCTTTTTTTTAGTGACGTTTTTTCGCCGCCATCATCTTTTTAACTTAGTAATGACACGAGTATTTTTAACTTACGGAATGATCTGACTTACAACATTATTCAGATCATTTCTTAAATAAAACTCGAAAAATTCAGACATTCTCTTATCTTGACAATGGATATTTCATCAGAATGCTGGCCACTGGCGTTGCTATGCATCCCAAGTTAACATGAGGTAAATAATTAGCCTCTTATAGAAAGCAACTTATACGATCTTAATGAGCACTAGTGGCTGACCGAATACTTTTAACAACTTTCAAACTAAAAGAAATTATTTGAAGGTAGACACTAACACGTACCAGCATACACCAGAGCACACAGTCCATAAGAAATCCAGGCAAGAAAAACGAGCAACTTAATGGAAGACATGAAAGCTGTTGCTATAAGACTCCAACTCTTCTGCTGGTTCCCTGACGACAGACTAAAATACCATAAAATGTTCTTGTTTTCCTAATTACACGCTGAGATTAATAATTAAGAGGCTGTCTCAGTAAAATTCCGAAATAAGTCCCTCCATTTATAAGGTCGCCCAAACTCGTAACTCAAAAATCGCTCCGTGAAATCGCCCCTTCCAATATAAGCCCGCCGGGGTCTTGTGCTTGGAAAATTGCCCTTAAATACAAAGTAAAACAAAGCAAAAACGGTTAATTTTCTTCCAACTATAAGCTAGCCCAATCGATTTTGAAACGCAAACTTCCCTCCGTACATAAGCTCCTACGAATATAGGCCCGTCCAAAAATAATCCCCTCAAAAAGGACCTTTTGAAAAATATAAGACCCGGGGCTTATTTTCGGAATTTTACGGTATGTCTCGTGTCGAGATAAATAGCTGAGTAAGAAAGAAAATAAAACAAATGTCCGAAGGTGAGACTTGTCCGAGAATCAAAACATCAGCTAAGCAGGTTTCGTTTTGAGTCAGAAAACCCAAATTTATCGACAAATGTAGGATTATTTTTTCGACTATTTAACGGTGTTTTGTAGCTAATCTTAAAACAAAGTGTTTTAGCACCTTTCTTGACCATATTGCATCGGATTTTTGGTCTACAAAACGAGTCGCCCCTAGGACTTGCCACTAGTGTTACCATTCGGTGTGAGTATTGGTCTTAAGGTCTTAACACGCATACAGAATTAACTCCTTTCTTAAAGCTACTCTAGATTAAATGGGAGTTTCTTGCAACCATACCCTATAATCCAAATCACTTTCCTCTGCTCTCCTCGCGTTATTCGCTATCCAAGTTATCCGTGAATCAAAAAATGACTCAATTAAGATTGAGACCTTGGTTCAATAATTTCTGGATGATTCTTCGAATGTTTTTAATGTATAAAATTAGGGGGGATATTAAAAATGTTGGAAAAGTTGGAAAATATTGGATTAGGGGGTTGTTAGAAATTAAAATATGAAGTGAATGATCAGAAGAAAAATTAATATCAGAGACTCCAACAAGGAGTGCCTCTGATCCCATTAGAGGACTAACTGCTTTATGTGCACGCCTTTTCTACTCTTATTTATTTCTTTCCCAAATCACCATCATTTCCCCCGAGAAAAACAACCTGAATGCCCCCTTAACAAGCGACTTTCAAGGACCCTCTATACTAATAAGCCCAGACAACCCAGCTGGCCCGGTTTCCTAGATCTCGACACATTCAGTTTCGATATATAGCCAACTTCTGTAAAGTATTAGTCACAAGTGTGATATGTTAGCGCACATAGAATGTTCGTAACCGGTTAATGTTTTTTTCTGTTTCTTATGGAGCCTATTTGGCAAACGCAATCGATCGTGGAACTGCGTTTCAGTTCAGTGAAAATCAAACAGCTACGACGGTTTGAAAGGTTTTATCTTTTACGTGTCTCAACGTCGAAAAGAAGCCCTAAACGAATGCAGCTGTCTCTAATTGTTGGAATTGCCTTCGGCTTCTGATTGATTTCAGGGATGATCTGGATTTCCGCATTTCCGGTTTTCCCTATTTCCGGTTTACATGTCAACCTGCATTTGACCTTGCAGAGCCGGTTTATTAGAAGGTTTATTCGAGGTTGTAGCTCTGAAATCTCAATTTTCTGATCCAAAATGAGACCTGCCTAGTTGATTTTCTGATTCTCGAACAAACTTTCACCTCTGAACGGTTGTTTTACCGAGCTATTTAGGTCGAAACGTGACACAGTTTCACCTGTTTTGAGCTTCGGATTGTTAGCATGCAGGGATTCAAAAATGGCCGCATACCAGCAGTTTCTAAAGCACATTTACTGGAATTTTATGGAGTCCGGCAACTCAGGGATTGGAATATGGCTCAATTTGTGAGTCGGTGCCAGTAATGAATTAGGTAAGCCGTACTTTTGACAAAATCTGCTTGAGGTAGATCCGTTACGCTAAATCTGAAAATATCGTATTAGCTCGTATACGCGTTGATACAAACGGTCATAACTTTTAAAATTCTGAAATCTTACTTAGGGGTTTGTATATTATTAATAACAGATGGTCTATCTTTGCGTCTGTTTAGTCTAGAGCTTTCAACTATGTCCCAAAAGTCAGAAATAAGCTTTTAAAACAGGGTAATTTTTGGCCTTTCGCTCCAAGGCAATTAGTTGGGGTCATATTTTGCTTGATTTCGTCTTTCCAGCTAACTTTAGCAGACAACTATTACTTTCAGGAAAAACTAGAGATGTTTACCTATAAATAGGTATAAATTTCATTGAAAGATGGTGCAAATCAAACATTTTACAGCGCCGCAGAAAATGCCAAATTTTCAGTTTTCAAGACGTGCAAAATGGCCGTGGCGGGACAAAATACTTGGCGCCCCCCAGCGCGGCCAGAAATTATTGTGAATCAAAGGAAACCTATTTTAGTTATAGTCTCAATAAAGCCTTTCACTCGCCAGATTTTCAGGCAAAATTATTTTTCACGCGAAATTGAGTGGGCGGTTTTTAGTGAGACAGCCTCTTAAAAAGCCGCATTTTAAAATCAGATTAGGAATCAAATTCGTGGGGTGCATCTTTATATCTTATATCACTAGCATTATCATATACTTAACGTTTTTTTAATAACGTTCTTTACACCAATTTCTGTTTTACCGATTCTTTCTGGTATTTTTTAATTTAGGGATCAGTTCGGTTCATTTCCAATTTAAGTTCTTAATGCGAAATTTGATCTATCCGCTTATTTCCATCTACCCGAATTCATATTGGTTAGCCGTTTGGGTTCCAACAGGTATTTCTATTTTATTTCTATTTTATTTTATTATCACCCGACTTTTAAAATAACTTCCTCTGACAAAAATGCAAACGAGGTTACCAGTCAAACTACCATAACATATCTTCACTAAAAAGTTCTCTCCAGAAAGTTTTTCAGGAGGTTCTTAATCCACTAGGTTCTATTCGAGGTTGTTTACCGTAATAGGTTTAAAAAGCAAACAGCTACAATTCTGAACGTGTATTGCACTTTATTTTAGCTTATTATGGTATATTTCCAATGGTAGAGGAAACCTCTAAGAAAGTCTGAAAAATTATCACAGAACTCTACCAAAAGAAACACATTGAAGAAATGACATTTAAATGGTTATCTCAAACACCAAACCCCTTCACGCATTCCAGTTTTTTACACTCTTACAAAAACACACAAGGTCAACTTGTCAAGTCGACCAATAATCTCTAGATGCGATTCCCCGACTGAGAGAATTCCAGCTTTTGTTGATAGTCTTCTTCAACCAATAATGAAAGAACAGCAGTCGTACATTAAAGATACAACACAGTTTATTAACTTCATTGAAGAAACGAGAGTTCCACAAAATGCAATCCTTGTCTCAATGGATGTTACAAGCTTATATACAAATATACCGCAAGAAGAAGGTATCACGACCATATGCCATGCATATGACACATTCTACACGGCAACACCCCCTAT